CTTATCCAATTTCCCATAAATTGATGCATATCATGCATTTAGATAAACGCAAATTTTGAAATCTATCAATTAATTAAATTTTTATAAGAAGCATATATTTCAAAATTTCTCCCATAAAATTTAAAATCAACAACGCAAGGATATGGCCAGCTATACCAGTACACAAAGCAATCCCTTTGACAACAACAATGACAAATGGCTAACTTTCAATTTGATTGCCAGATATGCATCAATGTTTACCCTCTTTTAAGGAAAGACACGTATCATCTACGTGTATCCAAACTGGTGTAGCCAAATCGTCTGTTTGAAGGATATTCTGTTGTCCACCACTCTCTCATGGCTCTGGTATCGTTTATATGAGGAATGGATATTTTTCAAAATATTTCAATGGGAGTTTTTCTACAAGTTACATTTATAATGTATGGCGTAGTTATATTTGAAATCTGATACCATGTTTTGAATACTGCCATCATTACTGGTTATGCAGTCATCAGCCTGGATGGTGTTCCTTGTAGTTTCTAATGGTTTTGGCCAACTTATGACAAAGTTTCTAGACAATTTGTGAGTGGCATAGCCACATAACTTCCATGTTTTGTTTTTTTGCTCAAATCTGTATGAGCAATTGAAATTGCTCATATATTCCGAAAAAAATATCAATAACAACTTATGGTTTTAGTTAAAGAATACAAGTGTGGTCAAGATTAATATACGTATCTTTCAAAATCTCCATATACAAGGGAGGACTTCATTTAAAATACACCTTAAATATTTTTCAACTACTCCCCCTTTCTCTACGATTTGATTCACATTTAGCCACGAGAAGTCAAAACATATCTATCCGGTATCTTGTACCTAAAGCCATCCATTCATATAACACTACATCCAAAAACAAGGTGAATCTTGAGGCTCTCTATTTGCCGTATGTTGTTCCCGGCAAAATACCATTTAAATCAATTGAAAAGCTTTGGCAGAGCAGAAGTCTGCCGAACACCAAACACCATAAGCCTTAAACTTAATTAATTGATCGATGATGGTCTTTTTGAAAAATTGATGCAGCTAACACATGCAGCAGCCTATAAAACAAAAGAACGGGGGAAAGGACGAGCGTAACAAACACGTTGTGCTGTTTGGAAAATGAAAGGAAGAGGAAGTGCGTTTTAAAATGAAATGCACTGCTACAAAGAGTTGTAAAAGGACCTAGTAAAAATGCGGTAGGTGTATGTGCCACTTTCAGAATTACAAGTAATGACCTCCACATACTTTGCATTACTTGGGGACAAAATGTAATGAGAAATACATACTCCCTGCATTATCAGTAATAATTAAAAGTAGTAATTAAAAATACCAAATATCGGGAGGTAAAATTAAATGTAGGCTTTCAGGAAAAAGTGAACCTATATAGGCATTTTGCTACCAGAGATTTTAAATTTTGTTTACTATGCCCCAAGCCATATGGCTAGAGAGGATATATATCATTTGATACGACCAAAACGTGCCTCATCGAAATAACGATAGCCCCAAAATCTCTTTGGACCAAATCCGTTTCAGAACATTTGGAGACGATCGGTCGGTCCGTCTATCTGTCTGGCTGGTGCGCCCATAACTCTCGAAGGGAGTATCCCATTTGGTACATCATAATATTATTATCAAACTTAGATTGAGTTCGGAGATGGGCAATAACGATCCACTCCTTCTGGTACAACCCTACACAAAAGGTCGAAATTTAAAAAAAAAATATTTTTCTGCACAGGATGATCAGATTTTGCTGCAACACTGCAAATTTTAATATTTCTATCAATGCTATGTCAGTTGCGAAAATTGACAATATAGGTCCACTCCATCTATCAGCACAAGATTTTTATAAAGATCTAACCATTCCTTCTGGTACCTCCCATACATGGGCCAAAATTTTAAATAACCAAAACTATCATAAACAACCGAAATAAAAATCCGGTTTTCATCAAATTTCACACAATCTATTACTTTTACTAACACAAGATCTGCTGTAAAAATGGATTATATCGGTCCTCTCCTTCTGGTACCTTCCCCATAAAGCGTCAAAATTTTAAATATCCATGAAGCTCATAAAACGCGAAATTAACATCCAATTCCATTCAGACTTGGCACATCTCAATATTTCCATTAACACAAGATCTGTTATAAAGATGGTGGAGATCGGACCATTTCTTTTGGTACCTCCCCCACAAAGGGTCTATGTTTTGAATAACCAAAACGATTATAAATTCCAAATTCAAATTCCACACATCACAATATTTTTATTAGATGGTACACTACTTCCGTTACCTCCACTATAAAGGGTAAAATTTTTAATAACCATGAAGCTCCTAAAACTCGAAATTAACATTCGATTCCCCTCACTTGGCACATCTCAATATTCCATCAACACAAAATCTGTTATAAAGATGGTAGAGATCGGACCATTTCTCCTGGTACGTCTCCCATATAGGGTTCAAGATTTTTGAAAAACAAAACGCTCAAAGAAAGGAAGATAAGCATCCAACTCTCTTCAAATTTCACACATCCAAATATTTTTGCTAACACAAGGTCTGTTGTGAAGATGAGATATATCTGCCAACCCCTTCGCGATATTTGTATCATATTTATTTAGGTTCGATACGAAATGGACAATACTGGAACCTACTCCATATAGGGTCAACAGTTTGAATAATCATAACAGAAGTAAAAATATATTTAAATAATCGAACATTGGCTGAGGGTATACATCTGTCGGCAAAACCGACTGATACCGAAAACCGAAAACGAGCAAATGCAATATTCTGAAAAAATCCTTAAATCACTAATATTTTCAAAAAACAATGAACTTTAAAAGATTTGATAGATAGATTTGAATATACTTAAAAAATGTGCGATTCAGACACTAATACACGGTTATTCTCCAAGGCCTTCCTCTAGGTATAATACATTCTTTCCGAAAAATTCTTTAAAAAAATCCATGTTTGTTTCTCTGAAAGTTCTTCAAAGAAATCTACGATTATAGGCCTTTAAAAAAATTGAAAATCCAAGCGTAAAAAGTCATTATATATTTTTAGTCATATTTAGATTTTCAATCTCGATATGCAATACAAACTGCATTTAAAAACCACAAAAGAATATTCCAATATTATACAGACGTAATATGAATATGCCTTATATTATAAGCGAATGGATCTATCGACTACATCTATTACCTCACTCCAAAAGTCCAATTGTCTAAAGGAATTTTCGTGTTTAAAACTTCAAAATCATTTAATTATTTGATTCAAAAATATAATTAATTTTATTAATGAGAAATTGCAACTTTTTCTACAAACGATAAAACTCTTTGACACATAAATTCCATAAATTCTTACAACTGCCCTGGTTACAATACCCCGGTTTGATGAATTGTTGCAATAACAAACCACATTTAATATCTTATCTCTTTGCATTAAAAAACAAACCTCCACAGTTCAAAATTACCTTGTGTCACATTATTTTTATTGATTTTGTTGTCGGCGCGAAATATTGATCCCAATTAATATAAATAGCAAATTGTAGGCCTTATCGATCATGTGTCCAATTCTTAAGAACATATTGACAAGTGAATTCTTCTAATTGGAGCATTGACCGTGGTTGTATCAAGATACAAATAGGTTAGTACTGACAATATTTTCAGCTCATGGAGGTTAAGGTTTGAAAATCAAGAAAAATAAAGGAGTGCTAAAACCATAGTTTAAATTTTTTATTCAACTAGAATTGCAAATTGCTAAGAAAACAGCTGATTCTTTAGGAATTTGAAGCTAGATTCATCGACATGCGAATATATGGATGGCTACATCAAATAATGGGCATACACTTAACATCTTCTGCAGTAAAGATTTATTATATCTACTTAGAACCTGAAGGTTTCAATATATATCTTGTGTTAGTAGAAATAATGGGATGTGTGAAATATAAAAAGAACTGGATGCTGATTTCGGATTTTATGATCGTTTTGGTTTTTCAAAAAGTTAACCCTTTGTAGGGCAGGGACCAGAAGGATTGGACCGATCTCTACCATCTTTATAACAGATCTTGGACTAATGGAATGGAATCGGATGTAAGTTTCACGTTTTATAAGCTTCATGGAATTTTTGACCCCTTTTGGGGGAGGTACCAGAAGGGGTTGACCGATATATCTCATCTTCAGAACAGATCTTGTGTTAGTAGAAATAATAGGATGTATGAAATATGAAGAGAACAGAATGCCTATTACGAATATTATAATCGTTTTGGTTATTCAAAAATTTGAGGCTTTGTGATGCGGATACCAGAAGGAATGGCCCGATATCTACCAACTTTATAACAGATCTTGTGTTGATAGAAATATTGAGATGTGCCAAGTTTAAATGGAATCGGATATTAATTTCGCATTTTATGAGCTTCTGGATATTCAAAACTTAGACCCTTTGAGGGGGAGGTACTTGATGGAGTGGACCGATATTTTCTATTTTCGCACCTGACCTAGCACTGATACAAATATTGGGATTTGCAAAGTTGGAGCAAATCGGATTTTCCTTTCTCTGTCTGTGCAGTAAAATATTCTTTTGGGGGTCAGAAGGGGTCCATCTCCGGTCGGACATCGCTAGATCGACTTCAAATATCCTGAAACGAATTTGGTCGATGAGGCACATTTTGGCTGAGGGTATAAAAAGTGTATGACTATGACCGAAATAGCTCTTGCAAAGAAAAAATAAAATTCGCACAAAAATTTTATATCAGATAGTCTCCCAAAAAATTACAAAAATTCCGCAAAAAAAATTCTGATAATCTTTTGTTGTTGCAAAATGGTCAGGCTTAATCCCTTTATTGTTGTTTTTATAAAAACAACGTTTGTTTATTAGTGGAGAACGATGGCAATGTTTTCCAGGGGGTAAGGCAGGGATATGATAATCTTTAAAAAAAATCTAACCCAAATATTCCATTACAATTTTTTTAAAAAATCCACAATTATATTGAGATTCTAGTAGGGTATATTATATATTTTACAATTTTTTGGTTTTATGTTAAACAGTAACTTTTAATATAAAAATAATTTTGCCACAAACAAAACACCAATCATAACTGCAGCACTCGCAGAGATTGTTCCAACCGAATTGCGATCATTGCACAAATCCTCGGAACAAACATTACAGGTCTTCTGCACCCAGTGGGGATTTGAGGGAGGAGTATCACACGTAATGGCGTTTGTGAGAATGCAACCACGGACATCGGAGACTACCTTGCCGCCTGGAAAAATTAAAAAGAAAACATTTAATATTTATTTATTTATTTATTTTTTATTTTATTTATTTATTTATTTTTTTTTTTTGATAAAAGATACAAATTTAATGATCTAAAATTGCCTTGAGAAGGCAAATCTCAAAGAAATATATATTTATTTTCGCATATAAGAGACATTTAATATTTTAAAAAATTTAAAAAAAATTTTAAATAATTTAGATAAAAATATTCCTCTTTCAAGACAAATATAATGATCTATAATTGCCTTAAGAACCCAAATCTCAATATATATATATTTATTTTAAATATTAACGTATTTAAAATATTAACAAAAATGGTTAGGGGTTCTTATTTATTTCAAAAAAAAAAATAAATAAAAAAATATCGTTTTCAATATTTATACATGTATGTTTTATGTGTCTACATGTGTATTATTTATAAACAAAATTATTACTGCGGTTTTAATATACTTGACATTGAATCTATTTTGAACTGAGTCATTTAATATTTGTTTTTAATTTCGTTGATTCTGAAGAGAATTGCATTTTGAAAAAAAAAAGAAACGAATAAAATTAAAAACTTACCTGATGTATAAACACCAACATAGCATGAAAACTTTGTCGACTTTGTAATTTGGTAGATATTCAGCAGGGCATTGGTGTGATTACATTCCACGGTGGAGGCATTTTTGCAGGAATACTCATCGCGACAATCGTAACATTTTAGGGAGTTTGCTATAAATAAAAAATAATTAAAAAAAATAAAAATAATTTTAAAAACAAAATTTTTTCAGCAAGACGTGTATCTATCAGTTATAACTTACCCATCTGCAGGAGAGCACCAAGCACCGAACACAGAATCACTAGTTTGTACATTTTGAATGGAATTTTTTCTAAACTTTTTCACTTGTTTTTGCTTTTTTCAATTTTTTACTTGTAACTTCTGAACGTCTTGCTCTAATCGAAGGTATTGATTGTTTGATACTGGAAGCTGTTTGAATATGCATTTTATACCTAAGCTCACTTTGCCTTGAGGCCTCTAACTTAGCATTGCAAACAAAGTTAGTTTTATTTTTACCTCTTTAGCGGTGAAATTTCCGAGCAAAAAATCCATTGATGCATTGATAGGAAAATTCGTAATGTGGTTTAATTTGATTTTCATTGGCTGCATGAAATAATAATAATAATAACAACACGGAATTGCCCATTTAAGATTTATAAACATAAATCAATTCATGAATCGTGGGTAATGTTGAGACCACTTCACATCTTTCCCACCATGGATGGAAAATACGAGGTCTCATTGGCTCATCAATGCCCAGAAAAAATAGCCAGGACTATAAACTTGCAATTTGGCATACAAAATTTCAAGTTGGTGGGGTTTTTGAAAATTCATACCAAATGATACTAAAAAAATACGAAAACTCATATTTTGGCCTGAATATAAAAATATTGAGCCTATAGTCTTTAAATTTAGCGTATATGTTATTATTGATACGAGGAATCAGATAAGAGAGTAAACAAGTTGAAAAGTATCAGTCGGCTTTGCCGACCGAAGAAATGGGCCAATATTGTCCATTTCGTATGGGACCTAAATAAATATGATATGAATATCGTGACGTGCCAGATTTGAACTATATGGGTTACTTCCATCACTTTATATGAGATATGTGGTAATTTTTTTGAAAATTTCAAAATGCGTGTGAGGTGCCAGATGTAGTCGGACAAAGTATTCCATTTCCCTATTTCATCTAATACAGATAAAATATAGGTATGGCCAAAATTGCAAGAAAATCGGAACTTTTACCCTTTGTGAGGGAGGTACCAGAAGAAATGGTCAGATCTCTACCATCTTTACGGAATATATTGAGATATGCCATTGTGATATATTGTGTTTACGGAAATATTGAGTTGTGCCAAGTCTGAATGGAATCGGATGTTAATTTCACGTTTTATAAGCTTATTGGATATTCAAAATTTCGACCTTTTGTGGGGAAGGTACCAGAAGGAGTGAACCCATATATTCCATATTAGCACCAGATCTTGTGTTTGTTAAAATATTAGGATGTGTAAAATTTGAAGAAAATCAGATTTGTACATCACATTTTATAAGAGTTACAATTATTCAAAATTTTGAACCTTTGTGAAAGATGCACTTGATGGACTGAACCCATATTATTTGTACCTGACCTAGAACTGACACAAATATTAGGATTTGCATAGTTGGAGCAAAATCGTATTATTTCTTCTCTTTCTGTGCAGAAAATATTTTTTTTGAAATTTTCGACCTTTTGTGGGGAGGTACTTGATAGAATAAATCAATATTGTCCATCCTGACCTAGCGCTGACGAAAATATTCGGATTTGCAAATTTGGAGCAAAATCGGATTATTCTTTCACTTTCTGTGCAGAAAATATTTTTTTTTTTTTTTTGAAATTTTCGACCTTTTATGGGGCAGGTACCAGAAGGAGTGGACCGATGTTACCCATCTCCGAACTCGATCTAAGTTTGACAAAAATATTACGATGTACCAAGTTTGGACCCTTCGAGAGTTATCGTACGCACCAGCCAGACAGACAGAGGGACGGACGGACATCGCTAGATCGACTCCAAATGTTCTGAAACGGATTTGGTCCAAAGAAACCTAGGGTCTAAAACCGATATTTCGACTAGGCACGTTTTGACCGTATCAAATGATATAGAGGGTATATATCATTTGATACATAGTAAAAACTATGGCGTTGACTTTGTTGCAGTTTTTTTATCTCACCCTGTATTTGGTAAAGATCGAACCATTTCTTCTGGTACCTCCCACACATAGGGCTCAAGATTTTAAAAAACAAAACGCTCAACGATCTGTTGTGAAGATGATATATATCTGCGAAGCCCTTAAAGGGTAACAATTTTCAATAATTTTATCTGTCATAACTTGTGAATCAAGTCAGGGATTCTTTACAACTTGCTATATCTAAATATATGTCTCTCAAGCAGAAGCCTGAGGTGAATAGGGAATTCATGATTTCGCATAAAATTGGATATAAATGTCCGATTTTCTTGTGATTTTGCCGATACCAGTATTTTTATCTGCATTAGATTAAATATGACAAGTAAAAAAAAAACATTAAGTTCGGCCGGGCCAAACTTTTAATACCCTCCACCTTATGGTAAAGGAAACATTAGAAGAAATGTGTCAAAAACCATTGAAATGCCGAATATCGGAAGGTACCGTTGTATGGGGGCTATACCAAATCGTAGACTTACACTTGCAATGTTTCGCCAACGGAGCTAGAACCCATTATGTCCTACAAATCCAATTTTCAGACAAATACGTGAAAAAATGTGTCAAAAATCATCAAATTACCGAATATCGGGAGGTACCGTTATATGGGGGCTATACCAAAACGTGGACCTATAATTACAATGACTCGCCACACGAACTGGGACCCATTGTGATCTACAACTACCAATTTTCAGATGAATTCGTGAAAAAATGTGTCAAAAATCATCAAATTACCGAATATCGGGAGGTACCGTTATATGGGGGCTATACCAAAATGTGGACCTATACATACAATGTTCCGCCACACGAACTAGGACCCATTATGACCCACAAATATCAATTTTTAGACAAATCAGTGAAAAAATGTGGCAAAAATAATCAAAATACCAAATATCGGGAACGTGGACCGACATATCTCATTTTCAATACCAACCATCCTAGACACAATACAAATTGCTCTACTAAATTTTGGCGCTCTACGTCAAAAAATGTGGGCTGTATCGTGATTTCAACAGATAGACAGATGGACATCGTTAAATCGACTTAGAATTTATGCTGATTATGAATATATATACTTTATGGGGTCTACGACGAATATTTAAGGATGTTACAAACGGAATGACAAAGTTAATATACCCTGCTTTCCAAGGTGGAGGATATAAAAATGGAATACTTCGGTCGAATATATCTGGTAACTCACGCACATTTTAACCTTTTCTAAAAATTCTCACATATCTCATTTAAAGTGAAGGATATAGTCGATGTAGTCCAAACCTGGCACGACGCAATATTTATATCATATTTATTTAGGTCCGATACAAAATACATAATATTGGCCGAAAAAAACCCACTCCATAGAGGTTGAATAATCATAACAGAAGTCAAAATATTTTTAAGTAATCGAACACTGGCTGTCGGCAAAACCGACCTATACTTTTTTACTTGTTTCATTATCTGCCATCCGTAACGGAACGAGTTGCTTACGGTCGAGAACTGCCAACTCAGTCAATTCAGAACAGAAGTATGACTGTCATAAACAAGTATAGCCATTAAAGATATGACTAAAGAAACTTAATTAGTTTTTTAATTTATGAACCAAAAATTGAACATTGGTTCTGTAATAGAAACATTTCAAACATACATTTTTTTATTTAAAAATATATATACTGTTCTTATTTCAAATACAAATCTTTTATTTCAAATACAAATCGTTTTTCTTTTCGATGAATCTTAATTTTTCGTTTTTAGTGAGATTATAACTAATGCCTTTTGGCGACTACAATGTACAAAAAAGGAAACTAACAAAACCATAACAATACTGCGTAGACTAAAATATAATTTAAATAATTTAATTTACAAATACTTTAGCCACAAATAGGAGACCAATCATGGTAAAAATACTAGAGGAGAAGGTTCCAACGGAATTCTTCTTATTGCACGAGTCCTTGGTACAAACATCACAGGTCTGTTTTACCCAAGTTGAGTTCACGAGGGGGGCACTGCAGCTGACGGCATCGTCCGGAATGCAGCCACGGACATCGAAAACTGTTGCTTTGCCTATTAAAAATTGAAAAAATAGACATTAATATATTATTAATTAAAAATATATATTAACTTTTAACATTGACTTATGCCCTGTTTTTGTATGACAATTTGAAAGTGGATCAAAAAGAAAAAAAAATCAATTCCTTGTTATTTTTTTTTATTTCTGGAAGTGGTGTTTTTCTATCGAGTTCACCTTCGTACCGTCATACAAAAACAGGCTCTCAAAATTTGAATTGCCGAAAAAATTAGAATTCTCCAGCAATAAAAACTTTGTTTATAATTTTTTGAATATTCCCAAAATGAATCTATTCAGAATTTAAAAAAAAAAAACTCACCAGCACTGTAAATACCAACATAGCATGCGTATCTTGTGGTATTAGTAATTTGAACATTATGATAGGTATTCAGCAGAGCATCACGTGTAGCATTGGCATTTATTTGGTTACATTGCACGGTAGTGGGATTTTTGCAGGAATTCACATCACGGCATTCGTAACATTTCAAGGAATTTGCTAAATAAATACATAAATGCAGATATGACACAATTACTTTCACTTGCACGGTATTTCAAAATATCAATTTTCATTTACCCAGCGGCAAGGCGATAACGGCAACAAAAGCCAAACACAACAAAACTTTTCCGTACATATCGATTGGTATGTTATTTTTTCTTTTGATTTTATTTCAATTTTTTTTCCACTGCTTTTAAGTTCTGCACCCGGCGAGCGTTTAGTTAATACTGTAACTTCTCTTAACCGTCAATATGAATTTTATAACAAAACCTCTTTGCCTTCTTGCCTTGAGGTCGTCTGTTCTTATCAACTGTGATATGACAAAAACGAAACGTCGTCTCTTTTTTTTTGTTTTATTTTATTTTTACTTCTTGAGCGTTAATGTTCGTAATCGAAATTGTTTGCATTGCGCCAAGGAAGTAAATTGTATTATTATTTTGTTATTGTTGCTGTTCGGCTGTTCATTTGTTATTAATAACAATGGATTACTCACACTTTAATCAATTCACGAAAGAGTGTTAATCACACCAACCCCATCCCGCCCTAATAATCGGGTTACACTTGTTTTATAAATATTTGCATGACAACTAAAATGTAAACAATAGCCCAGGTGACATTTGAAGAAAACATAATGAAAGTGAAATCTTCAACATGACTGCTC